CATGGCCGCGGGACGCAGCCGCCGGGAGCCGCCGCGCGGATGCCGGGGCGCCCCTCCCTAGCGGGGCGCAGCCACCTCGTCTCCCGCCCGGCCGTCCGCATGGGGGGCGGAGGGTCGGCCCTGAGGGTCTGCGCCGACCACCGCGGGGGCATCAACTGGCTCAGCCTGAGCCCGGACGGGCAGCGCCTGCTGACGGGCAGCGAGGACGGCACGGCCCGGCTCTGGAGCACCGCGGACGGCCAGTGCTGCGCACTCCTGCAAGGTAGACCCTCCTGCTCTGTCCTCTGCGCCCGCTCGCCCGCCTCAGACCTCAGCCCTGCGGCCCGCAGACCCCTGCCCGAAAGCCCAGCCCCTGCCCACGGCGGGGGCCCTTGGGGGGGGGGGGGGCGCTCGCCCGGCCGAGCCCGCGGCCACCGGGAGCGGTGGGCCGGGGAGCACCCGCGGCGGGGGGCTACCCTCACCTGTCAGCCCGGTGCAGGAAATCAGTGCCATTCCAGCGGCTTTCACGACAGCCCGGGTGGCACCTCTGCGTCCTCCTTGCGCTAGGCAGCGCCCTCCCCCGTCTCTCACTGCCCGAGTGGCCTGTGGCCGGACATTTCCTCTCGGAGCCATTGTGGTAACCACCGGCGCCTGTGACGTGCGGGCGGCACTGAGCACTGCCGTGGGCAGCCCTCACACTGCTGTTATCCCGCTCGTGCAGACAGGGAAACTGAGGCAGGACGTTAAGTTGCCCGGGGTCACACGGCCTGTGGGCGGTGGAGTTGAAAGTTGAACGCCCCCCTTCCCCATCCGGCCATTCTGCTCTGCTCTCTCTGCAGCCTCATTTCTTCTGCTGGAAAATGAGGGGGTGTGGGGGAGGGATGGATCAAAGTTTCTCAAAAGGGCCTTGTTAAACCAATTTAGCGCATTTGGAAACATGATGCAGTGGCAGGAGGCACACATAGTAGGCGTACATGTTGTTTTATAAAAGTTTCACAGATGCATACACACTGGTTTATACTTGTGTACTTAGTCACTGGAGGTGGACTATTTCCTACCCTGGGTCCCTGTCACATGCCTGCAGGGCGGGGCTGAGGCCCGTCTCCTCCTCTGCCCCTGGTGTTGCCTGAGCAGCAGGTTCGGCCTCCTGAAGCACAAGGCTCTCCGCACTGTGGTTATTTATCACCGCCTGGGTTTTTTCCACCATAATCGGCAAATCCTGGGTGGCCTCCCCAGGCCTTCCAAATCATGTAGGCACAGGGAGTACAAATCAGCTTCACGATTGGTTGATACTGACCCTATTGGTTTTTTTATTTTTATTTTTTTTAATTTTATTTATTTGACACAGAGAGAGAGCACAAGCAGCAGGGGCTGGAGAGAGAGAAGCGGGTTCCCCGCTGAGCAGGGAGCCTGATGCGATGTGGGGCTCGATCTCAGGACTCTGGGATCATGACCCCAGCCAAAGGCAGACTCTTGAGCCACCCAGGCGCCCTGACCCTATTGGTTTTAAATAAAAGCAGTATGGTAGATATTTCAAAGCCCAGAAGAGATGAATTTTGTACTGGGGGCGGGAGTGATACGGGAGAGTCAGTTACAAACTAACACCTTCCTCCTGCCACCCCCAAAGTCACCTCCAAAGTCACACAGATTGACAGACACTGAACTGAGACTGGAAGATCTAAGATCTGTCCAACATTTATAATCCAACTGTATTGCTTCCCAAACATAAGACTCATCTGGAGGGCTTTCAGAAATGTAAATTCCCAGGTCCCAGTTTCAGTGAGCCCCTGGTGTAGGACTCTAGAATTTGCATTTCTAACAAGATTTTGGCTGGATCTGATGCACCCTGACCCGGGGAGCCCTGGGGCCTGATGTCCATTGTGGGAGCCCAGTTTGAAGGTGGGTTTCCTCCCCAGTTGAGCTCCAGGCCCTTCCAGGGTGGTTCTGGCCTGGTGGGCATGGGTCTCTGCACCCAGGGCAGCTCTAGAGCCTGGACCATGCCTCCAGCGCCCACCCTCCTGTCCAGCTCTGCTCTGCCATCACCACCCAGCTCTGTGCCTGGCAGCTCCCCTTCACACCCATGTTGGTGGCCCTCACAGTGGCTTGTCCCCTCAGGACACCAACCCCTGTGTCCCGGTGAGGCTATGCCCGCCCCTCTGGTGGCCTGGGTGAGAGCCATCCCACTCAACAGGAGAGCTTTCAAACGAAACACTGCCACCCATTTCTACCAGAATTGTTTCTGCTGCTGTAAGGGTTGGTACTTTAAGAATTTTCATGGACAGGGGCACCTGGGTGGCTCAGTCGTTAAGCGACTGCCTTCGGCTCAGGTCATGATCCCAGGGTCCTGGGATCGAGCCCCACATCGGGCTCCCTGCTCTGCGGGAAGCCTGCTTCTCCCTCTCCCACTCCCCCTGCTTGTGTTCCCTCTCTCGCTGTCTCTCTCTCTGTCAAATAAATAAATAAAATCTTTTAAAAAAAGATGTTTTTCTCTTTGTAGGTAATATAGGCTTTGGTGTTTGATTTTATTTCATCCATAGGTTGTAGGATATTAAGCCAATATGTAGTTGAGACGTGGACATACTCAGAGTTCTTGGACTCAGAGACCAGCCACCCTATTACATCACTTCAGAGCTCTGTGGATTGTCACCTGTCGGGAATGGGACAGTGTATGTGTGGTTCACATGGGGCAGTCACTGTAAAGTAGAGCATTTGGGGACTGGGACCGTGGAAAGAAGGGTGTTTGTGTGTGAGCTCTGGGCAGCCAAAGGGTGGACTGCAGTGACTTGGGGAACCCCACTAGGATTGCTGATGCTGATGAGGCGGAGGTCACAGGGTACTGCTCCCAACCAAATTAAACTCAATGTAGACAGTTAACTTTTCTCTCCTTGGAAATGAAATCTGGTGTCAAATCACACCAGGCGAGAAGAAGCCTGGATCCAGGTCAACTTGTAACAGCATCCTACCGACAAATTCCATGAGTTCCAGCTGCTGAGACCCCAGCATTTCCCTAGTTCTTTCCTTTAATCTGGATGCTCATCCCTCCCTTCACTTGATATCCTTCTGATAAATCCCCTTCTCCTGCCAATTCGCTAGCTTCAGTTTCTCTCACCACAGTCAAAGAATCCTGACAGACACCAGCTTGCTCCCCCTCTCTGCTCCCAGAAAAATAAAGGCAGGTACAGAGTTAGCGGCTCAGCTGGCCCTGCCTTCCATTCGGAAACACATGAAATTCATGTAAAATACCCATAGTAGGATTAACAACTCCAGTACGCATTAAACTTGGCTTCAGAATCCACACAGAGAACAAGCAAATGCATCATTTTGTGGGCAGCTAGAAATCTTCTGGAATGAGTGAAAGCAGATGCTGCTAAACTAGCCTCCCTCGTTGTCCCTCCTAGTCACACACACACACACACACACACACACACACACACGAACAGGCACACATGCACACACACAATCTAACCAGGATGCCTTGCTGGGTCCGATGAGAATAAAAGCCGCTGGCGAGAGGAGACATGCCCACAAGCAGCATGTCTGAGATCTCTGCAGAGAGCAAGAGTCTGGCTGTTGGCTTGCTCATCTCCATCCACAGAGAAATGCACTTAGCGAGGCGCCCACAGGTCCTCGTTGGGATATTCAGGGAAAGGCACTCTTGTCAGACCTTTGCCTGAGATTTCTCTCTAGGAAAATTCAGTGGCATTGGAGGGAAAGGAATTACCACAAGCCTTCTATGTCTTAGGCACAGAGGGATGGGCCTGCTCCTTTCAAGCCACTGATTCTCTTGCATTTATGAAGACAGATCATTTAGACGTGGTGCCTATTAGACCTGAATGCCCCACTCACTGAATGACTTTGTCTACTTACCCTCCCTAGGCCTCATTGTCCTTCTCCGCAGCAAAATCAAAAAGATAATATTTATCAAGAGAAGTTGTTATGGAAGTTAAATGCTATTACACAATGTGTAATCAATCGCGCCTGCCTTATCACTGTCACTTGATTATAGTGAAATAACATAAAAATTCCATTAGCGTAGGATTTCTTGTTTAGTGTTTGGGGAGGATAAAGTATGTAGGAAAGATTTCTGCCAGCCTTGTAAATCATTACTTTCGTTCTGACGGTGGGAACGAATACAGAGACCTGGTTTTCTGTCATTATCTGATGCAGGCAAGATGCTGGTGAGCAGTGTGAATGCGGGGGTTAGTTTCAGGCAGTGATCTGCCGAGAGGCGTTAGCAGATTTGGCCCGAAACCATAAGCCAGACGTGGTTGTTGCCTGTAGAGTGAAAGGTCGGGAGTCTTGGGAAGGTCTCTCTGTCCCAGATAGTCCTCCCTCTGCCTTGTAAAGACTGAAATCTGGAATGTAGGGGAAAAACATATTTCCTTTTCTTTGTTTCAACAGCAAATGGTAGCTCAGAAATTCCCCTTCAAGAATTGTGTGGTATTCCTGTGTCAGGTATGGAGGGACCCTGACCTGGGGACCAAGAGGGTAAAAGGGATCAGACCGGGACCCCAAGGGAAGGAGCAACTGGACACCCCTGGAGCAACAGCCTGAGCAAGGGTCTTCTGTCTCCTTTGGATTTTCTTCTGAGCACCTGTATGGCCAACTGCCCATCGGTCTTCATACCTGGATGTTGCCATGGCACCTTCAAGTTCACAGGTCCTAAAAAGAACTCGGGCTCAGCCTGTAGGAGCATCTCCGGACACATGTCACCAGCCTCCCTCTACCCAGTCTTAGCATAGTGGAGACTCCCAGAGTCCTCCCTTCCTGCCTGCACGCACCCAGTTTCTCAAGAGTCCACCTCTAGAATACTTCACGGGTTTCTGCCTTCCTCTCTCCTGCTGGATCACACCCGCCTCCTGCCTCCTTTCAGGCCGCCTCTACAACTCCAAATCCCACTGCAACACGGCCCCCCCACCCCTACACCCTTCACTGGTGCTGGCTCCTTAAGCTCAACAGCAAGCTGACTCCCAAGATTAGGGAAAGAGTGGATTTCTCTGGTTAAGACGCTTGGAGAATAAATTGTCCCATGTGCTTTGGGACCCCATTATGGGGTTTTCTTTCGGAGTCTGGACATAGTCAGCCATTGGGAGAAGGTCTGGTTGTCGAGATGAAGGCTAGCTTTCTAAAGCTACCTTGTTCCCTCACCGCCCCCCCCCTCCCCGCCTCTCGGGAAACCCTGCTACCTTTAGGACCTGGAGGATCCGAGTGAGGGAGGTGTCACCCCTCCCCGCCCCCCGCGAAGCAGGCACCGGAACAGCTCTAATGGGAACCAGCAGGCAT